AATTCTCTTTCTTCGACCTTTGAACTCCAAGCTGACAAAACCCCACAGAACTACAGCTGATGGCTTGTTAGAATAGGCAACAAGCCCAGAAAAGAAAAAGAAAATCTAGCGTGAGAATGTAAGAGTGCTCCATAGTCACAAAGAAGCACACACCGTGACTTTGTCATCTTTTTATTGATGCGGCATCGCAAGTGTTGTATCACTCGCCCACTCATTACCATCCAATAGGAACAGACTGAGAGCTGCCCCTCCGGTGGGTCTCCCAGGCTGTCAGTCATGGGGGAGGGGATTGCCTCTCCTCCTTCTGGTTTGGCCAGTGGACTGGAGCAGCTGTTGGGTTAGTAGTGTGCCCCCCCCCCCGCCCCATGCTCTGCCTCCCAAGAGCTCCCTAACACTGTACCTGTCAGGTGTATAATGGGTAAGGTCTGTGCTCCTGTCTCAGCTTCATGATGGAGCCCTGTGTAAACGTGGAAGCCTTTGATGTCCCTTCTTCGGTCATGAGCCACTCTCCGTTCCCCTGCTTGTATGATTTAATCAAATACGTTGCCATTTCTCCCTTTCAGTTGTGATTTGAGTGAGGGTTTACAAGGCTAATTTTCCACCCAACCATTCCTACACATTTTGTCCATAACGTAAATGACAAATTTCAAGACCCACAGTGCCAGTTGCATTTTCTCTGCTTCCTCCCTGTGATTCTTACATCCACTCATCTTTCTGTGGTCTGGAGTGATAATGTGCTGATCACCCCCTTCCTGAATATTTCCTGTTCTTCACTGACCTCCATGTAGGCCCCTCTGGTGGTGGTGGCTTCCTCTGTCTGTAGGGAGTTGCTCTGCTAACCCCAAGGCCACGCCTCTCTCTGGGAGGAAGTGGGGCTGTCTCTTCCCTTGCAAGTTACAGCCTCAGAAAGACAGTGGAGCCTTCTGAGTCAGAACCGACACTATGGCAGTGGTGGGAGCGGGTGGGCAGCAGGCAGTGGTGGGAGTGGGTGGGCAGCGGGCAGTGATGGGAGTGGGGGAGGCGAGCAGTGGTGGGAGCGGGTGGGCAGCAGGCAGTGGTGGAAGCAGGTGGGCAGCGGGCAGTGGTGGGAGCGGGTGGGGAGCGGGCAGTGTTGGGAGTAGATGGGGAGGAGACTCTGTGAGCCTGGGAGGTTATATCTTTCATCTGAAATAATATATTCCATCTTATCTTTCACTATCTTTGAATATTGCCTTTCTCTCACTCACCTGTCCCTCTCTGGAATGCTTTTTATATGAATATTGAGTTTTTCATTCTCTCAAAAAATCTCTCATGATTTTCATTTTTCTTTGTATTACAGATCATTTTTTTATCAGTCTTTCAGCTTATTAATTCTCCTCAACTGTGTTCGAAATACTTGTGGGTGCGTTAAGTTTTTCATTCAATGACAGCATTTTTTTCTCTTATATGTATTTGTATTTTAGTCTTACTTCATAGTGCTTTATTTAAATTTAGGGCTTCAGGTTATTTTAAATGATGACTGTTTTATAGTCCATTTTGGGATGTTGTTCTCATCTCAAGTTATTAGGGTCATAAAAAGTCCTGTTTATGCTGTTTACCGGTTTGCACTCATGATGGATTATTTCCTCACGTGCTTTCTGATGGTAAATGCTTCCCCAGAGCTCGGTCTTGGGGATCTGTGAGGTCTGGGGCTGAGAGAGTGTAGATTCTGAATGGTTGAGATTGCCTCTGCCAGGGCCCTTTCTATGGAATAGATGCTGTCGTTGTGTTAGTGGTGCCATTGCGTGGACTCTGAGCCACAGCAGCCTGTGGACCACACGTGAACTTGGCCCTGTGCTGGCCTTCACGATCGCTGTCGTCAAGCCCACTGTAGTCACTGTGCCAATCCATCTAACTGAGAGTCTTCCTCTCTCTTTTATACAGTTACTACTATACGTGTGTGTATGTGTATTTGTATACCCTAAATCAAACCCACCGCCATCGGGTCAAGTCTGATTCCTAGTCATCATCCAAGATGCCCATGACTGTAAATGAAATCCTTACGGGAATTGCTCATTTTTCTTCTGCAGGGATCCTGGTGGATCTGAAGATCTGAATTGCTGATACACACTCACTCTTTCTCTCTCTCTCGCCTTTCTCTCTCCTCTTTCTCTCTTCTCTCTCTCTCT